CTCCCTCCCCAGCCCCTCACCTTGAGGGGGCTCACCTGGGGTTGCATGCCAGGCTGGCACCCACAACCCCCTCAGACCTCCTGCAGAGACCTGAGGACAGGACGCCACGCTCAGGCTGCCAGGAGCTGGGGTCACTGTGCAGCTGAGCTAGTTGGTGTTAATGAGGCTCAGGGCAGGTGGACAAGCTGAGAGCCAGACACCAGCGAAGAGCAGGCATGCCATGCCCAAGCCTGGGGCTGAGAGAGCTACCCCAGCCTGCAAGGCCACACGGTGACCCTGACCACTGACTGGGTGAAGCCACCGAGACTGGGTAGCTCCCGGCAGCTGTGAAGCTAGGCAGATGTTAAGTCAGAAAGCCCAGAATTCCTTGGGGTGGGCTCAGTGAACATCCCTTTTCTACGTCTGACCCTGCTTTCCAGACTTGCTCCAAGATCCTTTGGCACCAACCAGCCAGCCATTTATCTCCATTTCCATGGCCACCACCTGGTCCCAGACCACCACCATCGCTCACCTGGACAGCTGCAGTGGCCTTCTCGCTGTTTCCCTCATCCCAGTGTCGCTCTCCTGAAATCTGTTCCCCACCCTGCACCCTGGGCCACCTGCCTGCAGCGCAGAAACAATTGCCACCCCCGCTTTGAAGCGTTCATGCTCTCAGGAGAAAGGCCAGCTCCTCGCCATGACCTGGCCCTCTCCCCCCACTCCTCCCCTCCCCCGGCTCACCAACTCCAAACTCACAGACCTCCTTCCAACTTCTCCCACGTGCTAGACAAACATCCTTTTCAAACCCTCGCCCTGCTGTCCTGGCTGCTTGGAAATGTCGGCCCTGCTTGCTCTCCTCGCTCTGTCCCAGTCAGTGGTTCTCAGGCTGTGGCCCCCAGACCAGCAGCACCCGCCTCTCCTGGGAGCTTGTTAGCCTGTTCTTATTCACAGCATACGTGTGTCTCAAATCATCACGTCGGACACTTCACATACATACAATTCTGTTTGTCCAGTGTTCAGCAGTGACACTGGAGGAGGGGAAGAAATGCAGTTCCTCAGGCCCCAGCCCAGCTGAGTCAGAAGCCCTGGGGTTGGCCACCAACCTATATCTTAACAGGTCCTCCGGGGCATGCTGACACATGCTCAGATTAAGAAACACTGGTCTATTCATTCTTGTCATTCCTTCAGAGGGGAAAGTGTAGATCTTAGCTCAAATGCCACTTCCTCCAGGAACCCTTCCTTGACTCCCCGGTCAGGGCCTCAGGCACACCATACGTCTCCTTTATAGCAATGACCACAGCTGTAAACACACAAGCAATTGTGTAATTCATTGAAAGTCTTTCTCTTCCACTAGAATATATGCTCCACGCGTCTAGGAAATGTTTTTTGTCAATCTGCTCCCAGCACCTAGAACTGTACCTGGCACATAGTAAGTGCTCAATAAACACATGTGGCGTGAATGACTAACGGCATAAGCAAGCCCTCCTCTTCCAGCCCTTCCTGCAGCAAATATTTCTGTTTACTTCATGCCTGCACTAGGCCAGATGCTGAAACAAAAGGAAAGACAGCCCCTATCTCCAAAGAGCTAACAGCCACCGGGGAAAATAAACATGGGGACAAACCCACTAAATTGTGTCTTCAAGTAGGGAGGGACCGTTGCCAGGCAGAGAATTCAGGGAGAAGTATTGCAGGGAGAAGGAACAGCGTATGCAAAAAGCACGGTGAGATGGAGCGGTGCAGGCAGTGGAGAGGTTGGAAGGAGTTGCAGAAAATGAGTCTGGAGAGGCAAGCTGAGACGTAGTGGTGAAATGCCACTGAGTGAATTCCAGGCTAAAGAGTCTGGGTTTTATTGTACGGGTCGGCACTGGGGCGCCTCTGCATCATTTCCAGCAGGCGAGGGACCTGGTATCTTTTTTTTTTTTTTTTTGAGTCACTCCAGTTGCAGAGTTTGGGAAGCCAAGAAGGGTGGCTTCATCCATTCATTTATTCCCAAAGTCTATAGTGACTATGGCCACGTGCTGGGTGCTGGGATACAGTGGTGGGCAGAGTAGAGGCGGTCCCAGGACGTGGCAGCCGGTCCTTCTGTCCACACTATCCTTATCTTTGCTGCTATCCCATAAGCAGGAGATCACAGCCACCTCCAACGCCCCCACTCTCTTGCCCTGGATACTGTCCTGGGCGCCTCCCTGCAGCCCCCAGGGACAGCAGAGGCGCCCATTGCCCCTGGCTCTCGGGTTTCTGGGGGGGATTCTGAGAGGTTCTTCTGGGAAGGGAGGCAGCCAACAGGATCGCCTGAGACAATGGGCGCCTTTGTTGCTTCTGCCAGGGCTGCTCCAAGAATAGCTGTTTGCTCAGCTCCGAGCAGGGCTGGTGCTGGATAGTAGGAGGGTGTGGGGCCCTGGAGCTTTAGTGTGGGCCAGGCGTTAACCCCCTGCGCCTCTGGGCCTCCCCCAGCGTCTCCCTGGCCGGGAGGAAGGAAAGAAGGCATCAGGAAGCATCACTTACAGCACTAACTGTTGCCAGTCTGGGTCCGAAACCAACCTCCTGCCCTGCGAGTTTATAAAGCGTTTTTTTCAAAATAGAATTGTATGCGGAAACCCAACATATAACGCCAGGTGGAATAACTGGCTCTAGTTAAAGTGGGGAATCCAGCAGAGGGAACCCCAGCTTTTCAGAACCTCGGACCTTAGCCCTAGACCTGGTCCCATTCACTCAATTCGCACTTGATGAATCAGAGAGAGGAGAAGCACCTTGCTCCAGGCCACCCAGGAAGTTGGTGGTCACAGCAGGGACTGGCACTCGAGGAATATTTCCCAGGACTGAGCCCACGATTGCCCAAGCTCTTGTGATTTTTAGCAAAACCATATTGCACCTATAGTGCTATTAACAGTTTTCTTTGAATTGACTCACAGTTTTCTTCTAACTTTGTTTTAAATGGAGATCTTATGTCATTGCCATACGTAGCAAGCCTTTGTCGATTGCCTTAAAAAGATAACACATTTAATAGATACATGCATCTTTTAAAATGCCCATCCGCGTGCCGCCTAAAAGCATCTTACACGTGTACCCACACCTGGCCAACAGGCGTCCAGCCTCAGCTCAGCCCAGTGTTCCCACGATAGACTGGGAATTTAGAGGGTAGATGGACAAGAATTTAAGGGGCCTTGCGGTTCCTTAGGGAGCTCCTTTCCCAGCGATGAGTATGAGCTGCCGGATCCTTGCCCACTTCTCTCCTGCCAGGAGCCCCTATCGACGGGCCCGGGTCACAGAGGCCCTGCATGGTGGCTTCTGCAGATTAACGCTCACCACAGTGGCCACCCAGAGCTCTACCCACCAGACGGCACTGCTGAACATCTAGACCAGGGGCTCCCAAACTCTAGCCACTGGGCCAGCAGCACCAGCAGGTCCTGAAAACACGGTGGAAGTGCATATTCTCAGGCCTCACCCCAGACCTACTGAATCCGATACTCAGAGGAGGGGCCCAGCAGTCAGTGTCTTGGCAAGCCCTCCAGGTGCGGCTGCTGCTGCTGAACTTCGAGAGCCATTGGTCTAAACCTCTCATTCAACCCTGGCCACTGTTCACACCTTCAGCCGCCCCAGCCACACCTCAGCCCTGCCAGCCAGACTCTCCAGGGATGGGATCCATAGGTCTGTAGCCTTAAAATAAACCCTGAGGATTTCAACAGAACCCCTGATGATTCTAATGCCCAGCCCATAGTGGAGAACTATTCTGGTACCAGGAACACCAGACCCTCAAAATAGCAGATACGCCCTTGAGGCAGACACGTGTTCGTATGTCTTAGTCCCAAATCCCATGAGAATTCCACTTAAATCCCTCTGAGCCCTCTTTGACCTTTGGGAACCTTCAGACCATAAACTGGATTTAGCAAAACCATCAGCCTTAGGCACCTTTCTTGCCTAGCCTCTTTGTCCTTCCTGTTACCGCCCCTTAAGCTAGTGTCTTAGGCAGCTTGCGCTGCTGTAACAAAATACCATGGCTGGGTGGCCTAAAAAGCAGAAATTCATATTCTCACAGTTCTGGGGCTGGAAGTCTGAGAACAGGGTGCCAGCACCCTCAGGTTCTGGGGAGGACTCTCTTCCTGGCTTATAGCCAGCCGCCTTCTCACTGTGTGCTAACATGGCCCTTCTCATGCGCATGGAGAAATCTCTCCCTCCTCCTCTTAAAAGGCGACCAATTCTATAAGAAGACCCTCACTCTCATGACTTCATTTAACCTTAAGTATGTTCTAAACGTCCATCTTCAAATACAATCGCATTGGGGCTTAGGGCTTTGATATGTGAATTTGGTGGGGACACAAACATTCAGTCCATGGCAACTGGATCAAACCTGTTTGTTTCCTGCCCTGAAATCTTGATGGCTTTTCAAGAAATTCCAAGTATTTTCCTCTCAATAGAAAACCACTCTGGAACCCCAAGGAGTGACTCAGAGGAGGGGACTCGGAGCTGTGGAAGCTGCAGCAGGAAAGAGGGGTCTCTGTGGCAAAGCCAGCTCACTCCTGCCCCTGCAGGGCCCGCATTCCAGGCTCCATCCCTGTGCAAACCCAGCACTTGGATGACCTCCCACCCCCCCGGCCTTCATCTGAGTTCTCCTGGCCTCCAGCTCACATACCGGATGGGAGGGTGGAAGACAGGGTCTAGGCTTAGTGCTGCCTTGGAAGCGAATTCACTCCTCGCCTGAGCCTCAGACATCCGCCCTGCGGTGCCACAGAGCCCCCACAGCTGGGTGCCCATCGGAAGCATCAGGAAGCTTGCTGAGAATTCAGATTCCCAGGCCCCCTGCCCTCAAACATTCTGACTCAGTAGTTACAAGATTGGCCCGGGAATCTATACTTTAACAAGTGCCTTCTTCACCACAGGCATTTGCAATATAGCTGGGTCCTTTGGAGTCCCCCAGGCCAGACAACCTCAAAGGTCCCTGCAGCCTCCAGGAGTCTCCTCCTGAGCCTCCCGTCCCACCTGCCCCCGGCACCCACCTAACGTGCTTTCCTCTCTCCCTGCAGCGCAGCCCCAGCGGGGGCCCAGACCTTCAGCCTGAAGCGCTCGGAGCACGTGCGGGTGGAGGTGGTGTGTGACGGGCAGGCCGAGGAGGTGGCCACCAACGGCAAGCAGCGCTGGCCTCTCTCGCCCAGCACCACGCTTCGGCTCAGCATGAGCCAGGCCAGCACCGAGGCCAGCAGCGACAAGGTACCCCGGCTGGGGAAGTCCACCCGCCCCCCCCGGGTCAGGAGAGCCAGGGGCCGCGCTGGAATCAAGACAGGCTAGACCTGTGGTCGGCAAACCGTGGCTCGGGAAGAGCCACACTCAAGGGGCCAAAGAGCCGCATGTGGCTTGCGAGCCGCGGTTTGCCGATCCGCAGTTTACCGACCACTGGGCTAGACCAGAGCTGTCCCATAGAAACAGGTGCAAGCCACACGTGTCATTTTCCATTTCCTAGGAGCCACATGAAAGGAGAAAAAGAAACAGGTGGACTTAATTTTAACAATATATTTTACTTAACTACACATACCAAAATATTATCGTTTCGGCATGGTATCAGCATAGAAAACATTGGTGAGGTAGCTTACACTCTACTTTTATCCCAAGTCTAGATCTGGTGTGCGTTTCACACATACAGCACATCTCCATCCGGACTTGCCGCATTTAGAATGCTCGATAGCCGCCTGCGGCGAGTGGCTGCTGCAGGAGACAGCTCCGTGTTGACCAGGGGATGACAGCTTCGTGGAAGGTTAAAATTGCGGGCTGCTGAGTGATGGCATATTAGAATCATTGGGAGTGACAGCCACAGATGTCCTTGTTTTGGTCATGTATAAAATGGGCCGCTGGGTGCCCAGGCCACCAAGTGATTTGCCCAGGTGGTAAAGCCAAGACCAGACTCTGCTCACTGGGTTCTCTAGTTATGAACTTCATGTGCCCCATGGCAGTGATGGGGCTGGGCCTTTTCCAAGGGAAACCACCTCAGCCCTGCCCCTGGTTGCAGATGTGGGGACCCCGCAGGCAGCAGGATATATCAGGGGGCACAGGTGGGCAGTCAGCACCCTGGATGCACTCTGAGAGGATGGGAAGCCCCTATCTAGTTTGATAATCTGGGGGAAGCAGCCCACCAACCCAGGAGTGCTTCCTGGAGGAGAGGGTCCAGATGTGTGGGAAAAGCTGGCTTGACGAGCTGTGAGCTGAAAGGCAGGGAGGGTGGTCACTGTAGAGTTTCCTGCCTGCGATAAGAGATTTCTGTTCTTCTCTCCCCCCCACTGCACGCCCTCCCTACCAAGGTCACTGTCAGCTACTATGAGGAGGAGGGAAACAGCCCCATCGACCAGGCTGGGCTCTTCCTTACAGCTATCGGTGAGTGGACAAGGCTCTGGCTTGGGAGCCTCATCCCAGGGCCTGGCATGCCGCCCTTCTCAGCAGCACGTGGGCTGCTGTCAATGCTGCAGGCCTGGCACTCAGAGCTTCCTCTGAATAATGCAGGACCGAGGAGCGGTGCCCAGGCCCTTCTCTACTAGCGTGGGGGGTGTCCTGCCAGCAACTCACCCCAAAGTCAGGGTCCCTGTCCCAGGCTCTCTGGATCACAGGGGAGGAGAAACCTGTTCCTCCCCCCACCCCCTCCCCTGCAGCCTGGAGAAGGGCTTGCCTCTCATAGTGAGGGCGATGGCCTGCCCACAGTCTGTGCTGTCCTTGACAATCTAGCTACTCCTTTACCCTCCCTGGACCCAGAGATGCAGCCTGGGTCCTTACCTCACCTCGTTCAAGCCCTTCATGTAACTCATGAGGGCAGTGAGGCCCAGAGAGGTTAGGGGACTCACTCATAGTCACACAGCAACTCGGTGGCAGGTTGAGTTCAGAACTCAGGATGATTCCCTCCCAGGTTTTCCCCACTGCACAGCAATCCCCTGTCCTGGGTGGAGCCCAGCCTGGCTCAGCAAGGCCCAGAGGTGTGGTCTTCTGAACCTTCCGTCCTCCAACTCTTCTGCAGTTAGGATGTTAATTATGTGTATTTTTAAATTTTTAAAATCATACACTGTGATTATATTTCAGGGGATGATTTGCCCATCCAGCCTTGGTTTAACATTGACAGGTGCTACATGGCGGGGGGGTCCTCCCTGGACCCAGAGATGCAGCCTGGGTCCTTAACTCACTTCATTCAAGCCCTTCATGTAACTCATGAGGGCAGTGAGGCCCAGAGAGGTTAGGGGACTCACTCATAGTCACACAGCAACTCGGTGGCAGGTTGAGTTCAGAACTCAGGATGATTCCCTCCCAGGCTTTCCCCACTGCACAGCAATCCCCTGTCCTGGGTGGAGCCCAGCCTGGCTCAGCAAGGCCCAGAGGCGTGGTCTTCTGAACCTTCTGTCCTCCAACGCTTCTGCAGTCAGGATGTTAATTATGTGTATTTTTAAATTTTAAAAATCATACGCTGTGATTATATTTCAGGGGATGATTTGCCCATCCAGCCTTGGTTTAACATTGACAGGCGCTACATGGCGGGGGGTTGGGGAGGGAACTGCCGGCTGTTGAGTGTTGACTTCGTGCTGAGTACTTTAAGAGAGATACCGGTGTCTTCCATTTAGTGAACACCTACTCTGTGTTCAGGACCGTGCTGGGGGCTTTGAGGGAGAGGAGGAGGAGAAACACCTGACATTCATTAAGCACCTACTGTGTGCCAGGCTCTAATACTTGATGCCTTACTGTCATGATCTTAGTGGTCTTACCACTGTTCCAAGAATAGACACTGCTGTTGTCCCCATTTCACAGATGAGAAAACCAAGGCTCTTGACAAGTAAAATAAACAAAAACTTGCCTGAGGCCACACACCTGGGAAGTGGTTTGTGAAAGCCAAGTCTTTTCCATTACCTCGTATTCTCCAGGGGTCTTGGAACACACACCCCCGCCTCCATCCCCCCCCCCACTCTTGAGCTCACCACCCCCCCCCCCGAAAGAAAACATCCAGTTCCCAGGCCAGCCCCTCCTCCTCCAGCCCGTGCTTTTAGCTGCCAAAATGGGCTCGACGGCAGTGTCTTCTGCTTCTCAGCTTATTCCCAAAGGGCTTGGGTGCCGGTCACCCTGTCCCTCCTACACCAAGGGGGTGCCCAGCCTGGGGTGGGGTCCTCAGGACAACCTCAGGGTCCTAGAGAGATGGAAACTAGAGCTTACCAAGCTGCAACTGAGGGCAGGCACGGGGGTGGACCTCGCATGCACGCATAGCCCCCAGGTTGTCTCGGATGACCGCCCCGAGGAAACCGAAACCCTCAGAGATGGACACCTGAGGACGTAGGCAGGAGGGGCAGCGGCCGGAGGCCTGTGAAGTGAGGTGATCCCAGAGCCTGGCTGCAGCACTAGCAAGACTTCACCCAAGCAAGGCAGACTCGGGATAGATGGCAGGACTTCCCTCGCCCCAAAAGATGGCAAAGCTTGTGCTGGCGCCCCAGAAGATACCAAACACGCCCAGGGTGGACGGCCAGGCTCGTCCTTCTGACATTCTGAGGTTGTGGTTTCACTGGGCAATTATTTTTGTTGTTGTTGTTAATCCTCACCCAAGGATATTTTTCCATTGATTTTTAGAGTGGAAGGGAGGGGGAGAGACAGAGAGAGAAACATCGATGTGAGAGAGACACATCGATTGGTTGCCTCCCACACGCGCCCCGACCAGGGCCAAGAATGGAGCCTGCAATGGAGGTACGTGCCCTTGACCAGAATCGAACCCGGGACCCTTTAGTCCACAGGCCGACGCTCTATCCACTGAGCCAACCCAGCCAGGGCATGGAAGTGTTTTTCTTTTTTTGCTTAATCCCTTCACTTTTTCCCCAGCTCCCAACCCCCCTCCCCTGACAGCTGCCAGTCCGGGCCAGTAAAATGCCCACCACCACCCCCACACACCAAAAATAAATAAATAAGACTGGCATCTTTGATGGTTGGCCCAAAAAAAAGACATTAATAATTTGTCATCAATGATCACCATCATTTCAACAGATGAACACCTAAAACGTAGGCAGGTATGATCCCAGCAGGAAAGAGTCACCAGCATTGCAGCAATAAAGCTTTATGGAAAACGCACCTCACTGAACCGTCTCCTGTTCCGCCAGGGACTGGCGAGAATTTGGTCTCTCTGCCTTTCCAGGTCTTGTCTTCTCTCGAGCATCTACCCAGGTGTGCTTGAGCCCCACATCCTGAGTAATCACTTGGGGGCAGCACCTCAGAGGCAGGATCAACCCCAAGTGGGGGGGTTGTCTCCCAAGGGCATATCCGAGTCTGTCTCACCCGTTTTGTCCTGAGCAGAAAGAATTCTGGACCAAAGTAGTCAGAACTAAGTGTAAGTACTGGCTCTGTCCCCTCCCGTCCATGGTGACCGTCACCCCTCTGGGCCTCAGTTTCCTCATCTGCAAAATGGGCTCGCAGTGCAGTCTTGCACATTGCTTGCAAGGATTCGGTGGGATGAGTGTGCAAAGAGCCTGGTGTGGAGTAGGTGCTCAGGCAATGCTCTCTTTCCTTTTCCCCCTTCCTCTTGGAGTGGCTACACCTTCTCTCTGCCTGGGTGAAGTTGAAGAACCTTACTGCCCTCAGTCTTCCTCTTGGAATTTAGGAGCAAACCCACAGTGCCCTTGGCCAAATCAGGTTCTAGGTCTTGGTCTCAGGCCTGCCAAGGACTTGCTGTGTGACCTTGACAAGTTGCCCACCTCCTCTAGGCCTCACATTTTTTAGGCTATAACATGAGGGGGTTGAGACCTGGCCGGTGTGGCTCAGTTGGTTGGAGCATCGTCCCGTACACCACAAGGTTAAAGGCTTGATTCCTGGTCAGGGCTCATACCTAAGTTGTGGGTTTGATCCCTCGTCCTCTGAGAGGCAACCAATTGATGTTTCTCTCTAACATTCATATTTCTCTCTCTCTCTAATCAATGAACATATCCTTGGTGGAAGTTTTTTTTAAAAAGAGGGGTCTGAGCTCATTGATCCCTGAGGACCTTCCAGACTCCAGTTAGGACTGATGTGCAAAACTCTCCTCTTGAGGGAGAAGGTGGGGGTGGGAGGAGAGAGGTGAGAGTCTCAACCTCCTTGCTGTTGTCCTGGCAACGGGAGCCGTACACCGACCAGAGCCGTGACAACTTTTAGCATCCACCTGAGGACCTCATTCCTCACGCCCCCTTCCCAGCGCCTAGGATGGCTGAGGGGGACAGAGACCTCCTTCCCCACCACACCCCAGGCTGCCCGTGAGGGCGAGAAAGCCAGGCGCCCCGCCGCTGCCCATGGGGCTGGCTGCCCACCAAAATGCCTGTGGCTCTCTGTCAGAGCTAAGGCTTCAGTGTCTAGATTCTCACTCAGGCAGACTGCCTAAAAGCCAATTTGGCATTTTCCGTTCATCTGCCCCACACCCCAGGCGCCACCTGACACCTTGGGGCTATTCCCAGGAGCCGAGGTAGGACTCGGAGCCTCTGGGGAATGTCTAGAGCCCCTAGACCCTCAGACACATGTCCTCGCCCTCCTTCCTCCCCAGGGAGGCATTGCCATCCCAGACGGGCAGAGGTCACGACCCCACGAGGATCATCCCCTTGGAATCTCGTTAAATTGGACACTGGGAGAAAGGTTGATGGGGAGAAGTCCTGCAGGGATGGCTTGTAGCTTGGAGGGGATCCCGAGGGAGGGGGAGGGGCGAGAAGGCCATCGCAGCTGAATTTGGAGACGGCTCATGGGTCATGAGACAGAAAATGCGCAGTGGGCGGTTGGAAGGTGGGTGGCATAGAAGCCCAATTACGTAATGGGTTGCATAACGGGAAGCCAGTGAAACCTCCCCGAGTTTCATAAGTCAAGAAAGAGCAATGAGCATCGTATTTAGTGTGTGGAGGCTGCTTCAGGCAGGTGCGGGGATGGGCCTGCCGGGGGACAGCTGTGTTTCTTTAGAACAGCGGTTCTCAACCTGTGGGTCGCGACACCTTTGGGGGTCGAACGACCCTTTCACAGGGGTCGCCTAAGACCATCGGAAAACACCTATATAATTACATATTGTTTTTGTGATGAATCACTATGCTTTAATTATGTTCAATCTGTAACCATGAAAATACATCCTGCATATCAGATATTTGCATGACGATTCATAACAGTAGCAACATGACAGTTATGCAGTAGCAATGAAAATAATTTTGTGGTTGGTTAGGGTCACCACAACATGAGGAACTGTATTAACGGGTCGCAGCATTGGGAAGGTGAGAACCGCTGCTCTAAGGCCATTCAGCTGACCGTGTGAGGCCCACCCAGATTATCGAAGCTCATCTCTACTGAAAGTCACCCCTCTCAGATACCCCTACATTCATGTTTGATTGAATAACTGGGGGCTGTCATTCAGCCAAGTTGACGCATAAAACCAACCATTGCGCACAGGAAGTGGGAGACGTGAAGGAGACGTGGAAGGTGAGGGGGAGCTCACCAGATGGAAGGGGAGGAACTGTCCTCTGTCCGCACATCTGTCTGAGCCCATGTCCTCACCTGGTAGCTGTTGGGGGTGGGGAGGTGGTGGTAGAGGGGAGCGTTCCTATTCTGGCTCTTTCCAAGGGTGTTGTAAGAATCAAATATGAAAGGGCTTTAAAATGGATAAAGTTCCACTCATATCGAAAGGATCATTATTGACTTAATTCCTTGAAAGAAATTGACAATGAGAACTTTCTCACTCACTGAGTGTTTTGGGGGGGTAATTCCAACACCACCCAGTGGGAATTTACACCTGGCCTGGCTAGCTGGTAAACCTTGTCCCAGAAATGTTTTCACTGTTCTGTAAATAATCCAAATATGGCCTTAGTGCAGTGGTTCTCAACCTGTGGGTCATTTGTAACAGAAAATACATCCTGCATATCAGATATTTACATGACGATTCATAACAGTAGCAAAATTATGAAATAGCAACGCAAATAATTTTATGGTTGGGGGTCACCACAACATGAGGAACTGTATGAAAGGGTCGCGGCATGAGGAAGGTTGAGAACCGCTGCTTTCGAAGGTATTCGGGACTGTTCGGTGTCTTGTGCGTGATGTGCACAGAGTCATAAAATTTTTCAGCGTAAGAAATCCTAGCGAAGTAAAGCACAATGAAGTGCTTTATCCTGGATCTCAGGGACACACCCAGGAGCCAACTCCTCCGGGGATGACCTTCAGGGGAGCAGGTCAGGTGTGGGAAGGCGGCCTTGACCTTGGGAGGCAGCCCAGGGCAGAGAGCAGCCGGGATCCGTGGAGGGAACAGCCCAGGGCTGGGGTCTGCATCCAGGGGCCCAAGCGGGACGCCTGGCTCTGCACTCTCTGGGGACTTCCCGTCACTTCCCCGCTGCTGCCTCGGTTTCCTCATCTGTGTGGGCGGCTCGAAGGGAGAGCGTGCATGGGAAGTGCCTGCCGCTGCCAGAGGGAACTATACGCCTGAGAGATTATTATCTTCAAAAGCAAAGAGAGCGACTCCTTCGGGAGGCAGGTCTGCGGCGGTTCCCAGGGAGGAGTGTCCGTGGGGTGCGTCCAGCTGGAAAGTTCCTGAAGGTCCGGGAGCCAAAATCAATAGAGTTCCTCCACCTGAGCCTGCAGCCTCTCGGTCAGCAGCAGGTGGTTCTGGCTTTCCCGCTTTCTCCCTAAAGTCCTTAGCCTGCCCCAGCCTCCCCGATTTCTGGCAGGGGACACCTCTGAGTCTCGGTTTGCTCACCTCTAAAACGGGAACAACACTGTGCATCCCATAGGACTGGGACTCCTTGAGAGCAGGCCCTGTACCCAATGGCCCATCCATAGGGCTCTGGACCCAATGTGGGGTCTGGACCCAGATGCTCACCCGTGACCTGCTGAGGGAATGGAGCCAACGGCAGAAGTGTATAAAACTCTGCCTTACAGTATCTAACAGGCTGCTGACATGGGGCCACTGGAGTGCCCCTCTCCCAAGGACCAGGTGCCGTGAAAGCCGCCCCTCCCACGGCCTCCTTCTCCCCCGAGAAAAGCCCCGTTCGAGGGTGGGAGGGAATCGAACTGTGAGCAAAGGGAAGACGTGAACATAATCCCCAGCTCGGGGTGAGCCACCGGAGGAGGGCTGACATCAGTGCCTTCCCGAGCCAGGACCCTCCGCCCCACCCAGGCCAGGGAGAGGGCATGCCTGCCAAGGGGACTCACCAGGAATCCATCCATTCCACCCAACTCCCATCGCAGTCCAAGTCATGCCCAGCGTGAGGCCGAGCCCTCTGGGCAGTTCCCGGGCCTGGATCCCGCTCATCTCGTTCTGTGTGATGCTCCCATCACCTTCCCAACAATTCCCCTGCCCCGCCCTGCTAGTCTCTGATGCATTTTGCCTCGCAGGGACATTCAGCGATAGCTGAAGCCATTCTGGTTGTCACGCTGGGGGCTGTCACTGACACCCAGGGCGCAGAGGGCAGGGAGACTGCTAAACATCCCCGTGCACAGAACAACCCTCCACACAGAAGTGTCCGACTCAAAATGTCCGTGGTGCCTATTTGAATTTAAATAAGCATACTTATTTATTCAGTCATACTATTGCAATTAATGCAACTCCTCTGACTGGAAAGGGCCCCATTCTGCAGGTAAAGAAACTGGGGACCAGAGAGGCTGTTGAATCTGGCCAAAGTCACACAGCTTATAAGCAGAGAACCGGAGTTCGAACCCAGCACTGTCTGATGCTGCCTCTTGGGTTCATGTCACTGCCCCACACAGGTTCCATGAAGCCTGTCCCCACAAAGGTCCCCAAGAGGAAGGAGAAATAGGGACCCCTCCCGGGACCCTCTGTCTCACAGCCTGGCCTCTCGAGCACCCTCAGACTGAGAGGGTCAGAGACCCAGTTTCCCTCCCAAACTAAAGCCCTCAGTTTGTGAAGGTGAGATCTGGGCCACTGAGAATTCTGGGAGAGATACACACGCTCAGACACACCTGTGCACACATGCCCTGGCCAGGCTGGGGAAGGCAGTGCAAGAATCCTATGACAGTTTTCAAAATAAGAACTTCAAATCAGACCAACCGCAGTGGGTACCCCAGTTCCGCTAGTGCCACTGTGTGACCCTGGGCAGAATCTGGCCTCCCTGGACCGAGGCTCCCAGATCTGTACAGTAAGGCTCACCCCACCCACCACCCAGCGTTGACTGGTGGGAGATCCAGACCTTGCTGACCACACCTCTCCGAGCCGTAAGCAGGCAGGGGTGTGAGGCAGGGGGTTGGATGAGATGCCCACAGCAAGGCCCTCCTTCCAAGGACGGAGCAAATGGTGAGCTACGCCCTCATCCCACTGTCCCTGCCCCACCCTGCCCCTGCCCCACCCTGTCCCTGCCCACCCTGCCCGGCAGCTCAGCAACTCACCCGTGTGTCTGTCCCCAGAGCTCTCCCTGGATGTGGACGCAGACCGGGACGGCGTGGTCGAGAAGAACAACCCAAAAAAGGTACCTCGCTGCCAGGACAGACTCACTGGGGGCTCCGGGGCAGAGCCCCAGGCTGGGTACTAAAGCAGCCGGTCCTCCCAGGAAGCACAGGCAGCTCTCAGTCTCCGAGGAGGAAACTGGGGCCTGAGACAGGCTCCCCGACACACCACACACCGTGACAGACACACCACACACCATGAGAGACACACCGCACACCCCACCAACACACGACACACCGTGACAGCCACACCATGACAGACACACCACACACTATGACAGACACACCGCACACTGCGACAGACACACTGCACACTGCGACAGACACACTGCACACTGCGACAGACACACCGCACACAGTGACAGACACACCGAACACCCCACAAACACACAGCACACAGTGACAGACACACCGAACACCCCACAAATACACAGCACACAGTGACAGACTCACTGCACACTGCGACAGACACACCACACACTGTGACAGACACACCGCACACCATGAGAGACACACCGAACACCCCACAAACACACAGCACACAGTGACAGACACACCACACACTGTGACAGACGACACACCACACACCATGAGAGACACACCGAACACCCCACACACACACAGCACACCGCAACAGACACTGCACACCGCGACAGACACGCCGCACACAGTGACAGACACGCCGCACACAGTGACAGACACACCGCACACCATGAGAGACACACCGAACACCCCACAAACACATGACACACCGTGACAGACACACCATGACAGACACACCACACACCATGAGAGACACACCGATCACCCCACAAACACACAGCACACCGCAACAGACACTGCACACCGCGACAGACACGCCGCACACAGTGACAGACACACCGCACACCATGAGAGACACACCGACACTGCACACTGCGCACAGCACACCGCAACAGACACTGCACACCGCGACAGACACGCCGCACACAGTGACAGACACACCGCACACAGTGACAGACACCGCACACAGTGACAGACACTGCACACTGCGACAGACACACTGCACACAGAGACACACTGCACACTGCGACAGATACACTGCACACAGTGACAGACACTGCACACAGTGACAGACACAGTGACAGACACTGCACACTGCGACAGACACACTGCACACTGCGACAGACACACTGCACACTGCGACAGACACACTGCACACTGCGACAGACACACTGCACACTGCGACAGACACACTGCACACTGCGACAGACACACTGCACACTGCGACAGACACACTGCACACTGCGACAGACACACTGCACACTGCGACAGACACACTGCACACTGCGACAGACACACTGCACACTGCGACAGACACACTGCACACTGCGACAGACACACTGCACACTGCGACAGACACACTGCACACTGCGACAGACACACTGCACACTGCGACAGACACACTGCACACTGCGACAGACACACTGCACACTGCGACAGACACACTGCACACTGCGACAGACACACTGCACACTGCGACAGACACACCGCACACAGTGACAGACACACTGCGCACAGTGACAGACCCACTGCACACCATGAGAGACACACCAAACACCCCACAAACACACAGCACACCGTGAGAGGCACATCCCACACCACGACAAACCCACCGCACGCCACGTCAGACCCACAGAGCAGCCACATTCCTGTGGGAACAGGCTCCCACGTCTCAGTTCCCCCACCCACAGGATGGGGAGCCCAGTTCAGAGAGTTGCTGGAAAAATTAACTGTCCTGCCACAGAGGAAGTGCCACCAAAGATTTGCTCTTATAATTTGCTTTTTTTTTTCCAATCTGAGCGGGAGAGACCGCCAGGAGCAGAAGGCTGCGTTAACCCTCAGTTCAAGTTTAATGCTGCGTGCACAGCCCCTCTCCTGTTTACTTCTTTATTCATTCATCCATCATTCATTCGCTTTTCTTCCTATTCTGCTCTCCCACAAAGGACCATTCTAATGGCTTTACTGTGTCCCTTTCTGTTCTTATGATTCTGGCAAAACCTGTCAGCTGGTTGGTGTGCGTGTATTTTTAACTTGTGCAAATGGCACTGTGTTCTTGACCCCATTCCGTTCCGTACTTTTGCCTCAACCCAGTTTTTTTAAGCTCCATCGGTTTTTCTCTGTTACATCCTCTCATTGTTTTCCACAACAATCTAAAGCCTGGTTGAAATGATACATAGGTGGATACTTTAAAAAGTTAACCGAATACCCCCACGAGGAGACTAGGGACTAGCTGCTGGCCCCAGGTTCCCTGCTT